GTATTCCAGAGTGGGTTACCTCTATTTCTTTGATTGTATAAAACACGAGCTAAATAATTCCAAATTTCTTCTGGGCTTAATTTTGAACCATCATCCAAACAATGGTCATCGGTACTATATTATTTCAAATCCAATACAAACGTGTATATGAATTTAAATTAGTATACCAATTTATATATATTATTTATAGGAATAATAATTATTTATTTATTGATTACATACACTAAATCATCAAGAGTATTTGTAATTGATTGAAAATCACTATATTCACCACTTGCACCAACAATAGTGAAGCCACCAAATTTCTTCATTCTTTCAGTGCTATTAAATCTTGCTAATGAACCATATGATAATAACATATCTGAACCCATTACAACACCTTTATCATATTTAATTGCAATAACTGATGTACCTGTAACAATTGGATCTCTGAAGAAATTAAAATAAATATATGTTATATTAATATTAAAAGTTTTTTTTTTTTTTCTTATTATTATTATTATTATTATTATTATTATTTTTATTCGATTGATTAATTCGAGGTTATGTATGGTGATGATTTCAAAAGATGAGAAGTTTTGATGAAAATTTACAATGTTTTTTGTTTTCCACCCAAATGTGGATTATATTGTGGTTGTTGTGGTTGTTGTTGTTTAAAGTAATCTACTTGTCCAAATACTGGGAAGTTAACATGTTCGTGTGACATTTTATGAGTATATAATTTAATATTTGATGAATATAAAAAAAAAAAAAAAAAAAAAATGAAAAATAAAATTTTTTTTTTTTGTGAACAGCACAAAATTAAATTAAAAAAAAATAAATAAAAAAAAATTAAAATTTTTAAAAAAAAAAAAAAAAAAATAAAAAAAAATTGATGAAAATTTTTTAAGTGCCAAAAGAATAAAATGAGAATTAATAAAAAAAAATTTTTGTTCATTTTAATATTAAATGTTTTACAAAAAGGATTTTTTAATTAAAATTTTTGAGAAACTATCAGTTGGCTCGCAATAATCTATTTAATAAAGTTTGAATTGTGGCTCATCTTACTCCGTTTTTGAAATAACATTTAATCGTCCCTGTAATTTAAGCTAAAAAAACTAAAGATAAAATTCTAATTGATATTTATCCTTTGTATAGAATTCTATCTTTAGCTTATTATAATAATAAAACATTAACTTTAATTGTTATTATAAATATCCAAACTCTTATTAAACAAATAAAAATATATGATACCTTTTCATTCTTCATTTATTATTAAAACCTATTGTTATTATTTTTTTTTTTTTTTAAAAAAAAAATAGGTTGAATGCAGAATTAAAAAAAAAAAAAAAAAAAAATTAAAATAATAATAATAATCGTTCCTTTCATTACTTTTTTTCCAAAAGGAATTAATTTTTTTCTTTTGTTTTAACTTCAAATTTAGGAAATTTCTATTTTATTTTTTTTTTTTTTTTTTTTTTTTTTTTAACTGATGCATCTAAAGATCAATATATAATTGGTAGAAATTTATTTTTAAACATGTTTTTGATTTTTAATTATTTTAAATGGTTTTAGATATTTTAGTTCCAAATGAATGGTGTAGTTATTCCTTAAGCTTGACAAACAAAATGAAGTTTTAAATGAGTGCTTGGTGAAATAATTATTTGGCTCAATAAAATCAATTTCATTTAAATCGATATCAGGATTTATTCTTAAAGGACCATTGTATTTAATTTCGAATGTTTTGTTTAGAATTCTCAAGTAGTGTATTCTTGAAATAAATTTACAATTTGCTTGATATTCATTAAAACATATAGGTTGACTATAAAATTCATCATTTTTTATTGATATTAAAAATCCTTCGGTTTCTACTCCGTATTGGAAAGAAATAACATATGACGCATTAATATTATCCTTCATTTTAAATCCAATATTTTTCTTTTCTTTTGAAAAAAAAAAAAAAAAAAAAAAAAAAATAAAAGTAAAAAAAAATACAAGTAAAAAAAAAAAACTAAAATTTAAACCAGATAAAAAATTAATAAAATTGTTAAAGGAAAAATTTTAAATTTTTAAATTTTTTTATTTATTTTTTTATTAATTTAGAGTTAATGTACAATTTTGGATTGACTGTTTTTGAATACAATAACCCGTTGCGGCAGTGTAACCGAAATAGGCAGTTTTTGGGATAGTTGCTGGCGGTATCGGTATATTGCTTAATAAGCTTTGATTATTATAAATTATTGAAATTGATGAATTTAAATGGCTATATTGAATACTAACAGTATTTAAATTTTTCATAACTGAAGTATGTGCCATTGAATAACTATGAATTAGATTCGTTAATAAATTTGAATTATTTGGATCACTAGTTTTAATTGTTATTTGATTTGAATTTGGCAGATTTATATTATCATTTAATAATGTCTTAAATTCTATTGCTAACAAACCATGCATTGCACTCATATTTGAATGATTAACATCATCATTATACTCTAATTGACCACCCTCTAATAATTTATAATGTTCATATGAGTTTGGTGAATCTGGTGAGTTATGTAATATAAACGATAAACCATCTGTACCATTTGTTTCAACTGAATATGTGAAATTATTTATCCAACTCTTATTTTCAAAACCAATCTTTTTATTATAATAACATGATCCAATCTTATCAGTTGTTGAATTTGTTAAAACTACTTCATAAGAACCTTCCCAATATGATGATCCATTTATATCCCCCATTGAATCAATTAATCTAAATTGTTGTTGTTGTTGTTGTTGTTGTTGTTGTTGTTGTTGTTGTTGTTGTTGTTGTTGTTGTTGTTGTTGTTGTTGTTGTTGTTGTTGTTGTTGTTGTTGTTGTTGTTGTTGTTGTTGTTGTTGTTGTTGTTGTTGTTGTTGTTGTTGTTGTTGTTGTTGTTGTTGTTGTTGTTGTTGTTGTTGTTGTTGTTGTTGTTGTTGTTGTTGTTGTTGTTGTTGTTGGTTATTTGGTGGATTGATAGTTGTGGTGGTTGTGGTTGTTTTATTTATTTTATTATTATTAACATTAATTTTTAAAATTTTTTTTGTCAAAAAGTTTAATGATTTTGATTTTAATTTTAATTTTGGTGAAGTTGTTTTTTTTACTTTTTTATAAACTCTTGGTAATGGTGAATAGAGTAGTTCACGTAAATCAAATAATTGGACTCTCTTTCTTTTTAATAATTCAGTTGATCTTCTTGTTTGAATTTTAACCATTTTATTTATTTATTTATTTTCTGAAATTAATATATATATATTTATTTGTTTATTTGTTTATTTGCTTTTTTGCTAAAGTTATAAAAACTTAAGAAATTTAAGTTTTTATAGTCACATTGCTATCTTTTTTTTGTTTTTTACAGTTTCATTTTTTTTTTTTGTAATAATAAATTTTTTCAAAAAAAAACTTTTTCTACGAAATTTTCAATGCTTTTATTTTTTAAATTAAAAAATATTATTTCCAATTATTGTCGAAATTGTTTTTAAATTATAAAAAATAATCTGAGCTTTCCAGGGAAAAGTGAATTTTATTAGAAATTGAGAAAAAAATTAGACATTTCTTTGGTTTTGTTTTTTTATTAATATAGGTGAAAAGTAATATACATTCGTTTTTAAATTCCCAAATTAATTCTAAAAGAATCAAATAATTTTAAAAACTGTTACTTTCTTTTTATTTAATTATAAATGAAATGAAATAAAAAAGAAAAAAAAATTTAAAAATAGATTATTTTTTAAAAACAATAATAATAAATTCATTTTAAGTTTTTATTGTCATATTGCTGTCTTTTTTTCAATAAAAAATTAAATTTTTTAAAATAAAAAATATTATTTGAAACTTTTCTTTTGTTTAGAATTTTTTCAATATATTTTTTAAAGGCCAAAATATTTTTTTTTTTTTTTTTTTTTTTTGAACAAAAAAGATTTTTATTTATTTTATTATTAAAAAATAGAAATAAATTGGTATTATTTATCTTTAGATATAGTTGATTTTGATTTACAACTCAAATCTAATATTGGTTGATTTAATATCAACTACCTTAGGCTCTTGGGCCACTTGCCATTCTACATTTTTTGAACCACTGTTGTTTATTTAAAAATAAATTAAAAATTAGATGTTAGTAATTTCATTAAAATAATGATTGATTGATTGAAAAACTTTATTTAAAACTTACTCCTTGTAATTCTTCCGCAGAAACGCAATCATCTTTGTCAAAATCAATGGATTTAAGGACTCTATCACGACTGGAATATGGTGTATATCCACCTTGTTGTTTAAAGAATTCAACAAATTCTTTTTTATCTATTTTATTGTTGTTATCTTTTAGAATAACAATTAAATTAGTTTTTAACATTTATAGTCATTAAAAAAATTAGAATAAAATTTTATGTGAAATTTTTCGACTCATTAATATTAGAATCTTACCTTTGTCATATCTAACTAAAAATGCTTGTACATCAGCCATTGCACCAATTTCATGATTTTGTTCAATCTTCTTTCTGGCAACATCAGAAGAATATTTAAGTATTTCATTATAACTGATTTTACCATCGCCATTAAGGTCAATAGTGGACACTAAAACACCAGTGGCTTGTGAAGCTTTTTGGGGATCGTTCAATACTATAATAACAATATTAAAAAATCAATTAGTTTTTAATAATTAAAAAAAAAAAAAATTTTAATATTTACATTTCATAAATGAACGAAAGATTTCTGGTGGAGTTACAATTCCATCCTTATTTAAATCATAACTTTTAACAAATGTTTCAATTTCTATATAAATTTTTGGGTCACCCATTTTTGAAATAACAATATACTATTAAAATTAAAAATTAATATTCAAAAAGTAAAATACATTATAAAAAATTTTGAAAAAATATTTTTTATTTATACTTTTTTTTTTTTGAATTCATTAAAAAAAAAAAATGAATATTCAATATAATTGTATGAACATTTTTTTTTTTTTTCACCAAATTCAATTTTTTGAAGGGTTACATGTAAAGAAAAAAAAAACATAGTGAAGATGGGTAGAAGATAAAAGCTGGTTTTGAAAATTCAGAGAATGGTGGGGTTAGAAAATTACCAGCTTTTATCTTCTACACATCTTCACTATGTTTTTTTTTTTTTTTACACGCCACCCCTTCAAAAAATTTTCAAACCCCACCATTCTCTCAAGTAGTAACAAAAAAAAAAAATAATTGAAAAATGCAATTTTTGTAAGCACCACCAAAAATAGAACTATTTTACTATTATTATTATTATTATTATTATTATTATTATTATTATTATTATTATTATTATTATTATTATTATTATTATTATTATTATTATTATTATTATTATTATTATTATTATTATTATTATTATTATTATTATTATTATTATTATTATTATTATTATTATTATTATTATTATTATTATAATAATCGTTTGTTCATCTTGTTAATAATCGTTTGTTCATCTTGTTAATATTAAATTTGTATAATTATTGTAAAAAAAAAAAAAATTAAAAAAAATGAAATGTGTTTTCCTTTATTATTTTCTGTTATCAAACACTTAAACAACTTTGAAATAATAAAACACAATTCTTCAATCTACTTGGTTATTTCATTAACTCAACCATTTGAACAAAATAACTATTAATTAAAGAATCCAATTAAATTGGTTGGTGCAATAATGCAGCAAACTCTGAATCATTAATTATGTCAGGTATTTATTTACAAAGTAAATTAATGAATGTCAATATTTTCGATGTTCATGGTGATTGTATTCAAATTATTTTAAAAATCTTAAAATTTAGTTTATAAAAAAATAAAAAAAAAATAAAAAAAAAATAAAAAAAAAAAAAAAAAAAATTAAAAATTTTTTTTTTTTTTCAATTAAATTTTAATATATAACTTAACTTTTAAGAAATGGTCCTTTTTTTTTTTTTTTTTTTCTGTGTTTTTGAAAAAAAACGACGGTTTTTTTTATTTTTTGAATTTTTTTCATTATTTTTTTTAATTTTATTTTACCATTATTTTTATTTTTATTTTTTTTTGGTTTTTTTTGGCTTTTTTATAGTTTTTTTTTTTATAGCTTTTTTTTTTTTTTTTTTTTTTTTTTTTTAAATTAATGCATTAAAATAATTTAAATACCATTATTTTTTGGATATATATGTATATTACATATATAACTATAGTTCAAATTTCATAATCAATGGATTTCGATAACCAAAAAAGAACAAAAGTAATATGGCCTGTTGAAATTGGAAATGAGTTATTTGAATACTATGAAAAATTTAGAGCATCAGGAAATTATGCCAATCAAAGAGAGGTAGTTGAAGCTCTCTCTCAAATTGAAAAATTTAAAACCTACAACCAAGATCAAATTTTTTCAAAGGTTAAAAATATGTCCTCAAGGAGTACTAAACAAAATTATTCGAATAATACACCAATAAAAGTAACGTAATTTTTTCAGATAAAATATTATAATAGATTCTATAAAAACAAATTCTTACTCTTTTTATAATAATAATAATAAT